TTAACCGACACAAATCTTAAATTTGTGTGGTTATAATTTTGTGTACAAAATTATAACCAAAATTCTGGCTGAGCGGCTGGCCAGTATCTTACCGACGATTGTCTCGGCTGGTCAAAATGCTTTTATTCGTGAGAGACAGATTGTCGAAAATATCCTCCTCGGACATGAAATTATGCATTACCTGAAAATCAAAAAACGTGGGAAGAAAGGTTACATGGCTCTAAAGGTTGACATGGAAAAGGCCTATGATAGAGTCGAATGGACCTTTCTCCTTACGGTTTTGGAAAAGATGGGGTTTAATTCTGTCTGGAGGGGTTGGATTCAGGAATGTCTCCGGTCTACCTCCTTTTCGGTGATGATGAATGGTACTCCGTCTGGATACTTCACTCCTTCCAGGGGACTGCGGCAGGGAGACCCCCTATCGCCCCTTTTATTTGTGCTATGCACAGAAGGGTTTGCGGCTCTCCTGAAGAAGGCTATCTCAGATACGAAATTGGCGGGGATTAAGGTGGCTCCCAGAGCCCCGAGGATCTCGCATTTATTCTTTGCTGATGACTCATATTTATTCTTGCGTGGAACGATCCAAGAATGTGAGAATCTAATCGAAGTTTTGAATGAATATGAGGAACTGAGTGGCCAAAGAGTGAACCTGGCTAAGTCTGCGGTATGCTTCAGTCGAAATATCTCGATACCATACCAAGAATTCCTAGCAGCTTGTATGGGGGTAGGGGCAGTCGGTGTGCATGATAAATATCTTGGGCTCCCCTCCCTCATAGCCAGATCGAAAATGGAAACCTTCCGATACTTAGAAGAGAAACTCCTGGAGCGCCTACAGGGGTGGAAAATGAGAACCTTGTCCTGGGCGGCTAAAGAGACTTTGATAAAATCGGTGGCCATGGCTTTGCCCCTTCATGTGATGTCCTGCTTCAAGCTGCCGCTGGCCCTATGCCGCCTTCTGGACAGGCATGTGGCCCGGTTCTGGTGGGGGGATGAGGATAATCATTCGAAGGTCCGATGTGTATCTTGGCGGGACATGTGCCGGAGTAAACACGATGGGGGGATGAGCTTCCGCCGGTTTGAACATTTTAACCAAGCCCTCTTGGCTAAGATTGGATGGCAAATCCTCCAGGAACCCCAGTCTTTGCTTGCCCAGGTGTACAAAGGGAAATACTTTCCTAAAGGCCATTTTCTCAACGCGAAGGCTCGATCTCGTCCCTCATGGGGTTGACAAAGTATTCTTCATGGGCGGGAACTCTTGGCAATGGGGCATCGATGGCAAATTGGGAATGGTCGTGCGGCGTCCATGTTGCACTCTACTTGGATTCCCCAGAATCAATTTGAGCCTATTCGGTATAACCCTTTGATCTTGCCGCCAGGAGGGGATCCCCCAGTTTCGGAGCTTATTTGTCAAGAGGGAGGTCGCTGGTGTGACTCCAAGCTTAACCAATGGTTTGACCCTGTTACCTGTCGTAATATTAAGGCTATTCCTCTCCCGTGTGTGAATGTGGAGGATAAGCTAATCTGGCATGACACGACGGATGGTGATTTTTCGGTGAAATCGGCTTACCATCTGGCGATCGCTTTGGACAGGCGTAGGGGTCGTTGGAGGGCTGGGGTAGATTGGATGGATCGCCGAAGCTGGATTCGCCTTTGGGAGGCTAACATCCCCCAGAAATTAAAGGTGTTTCTCTGGCAGATCTTTCGTCGAATCCTTCCTACTACAGAAGCCTTGCTGGAGAGAAAGATTGTGGTCCACCATCGCTGCCCGGTTTGTTGGGAAGACGAAGAGACTTTGGAGCACCTCTTTTTGGATTGCCAGGTAGCCAGGGCTCTTTGGGGTGCTGCGGGCCTTGAGCATATCGGGGAAGGATTGCCGCGCCATTCTTTTCCTTTGTTTCTCAAGAAGGTCATGGCTCTCATCCAGTGCCCTGCTTTGTTCATGGCGGTAGTGGCCGTCCTCTGGTGAATTTGGCGATCTCGTAATTGGGTGGTCTTCGAGGGTAAGCAGTATAAAGTGGAAGCACTGGTGCGCCAGTTCACGCAACAGTATGAGGAGTGGCTGAGCCTCCCGGTTGATAAAACAGGTACGGTCCCTACTGCTGCGGAGGCCCATCATTCGAACCAGGATGAGGTGTCGGGGGTTATCTGTGGTTGGGATGGGGCGGTTCGGAGGGGATCGCATTCTGCAGGAGGGATGGTGCTGATGGATCCGAATCGAGACATCATCGTGGCCAGTGGGTTCCAAATCCCCGTCATTGAAGATCCTCTGGTGGTGGAACTGCTGGTATTGTGGAGCGCGATTCTTTGGTGCAGTGGGCATGGGTTCTCTAATGTGCGGTTTGAGGGGGATGCCAAGGTTGTCATTGAGAAGCTCCAGCGGATGGAGGTTAGGGATGGCAGGATAGGAGCTATACTGAAGGAGGTGCTGCATTATTTGTCCTGTTATCCTGGGTTTTCTGTTCGGTTTGTAGGTCGGCGTGCCAATAGGGTAGCCCATTTAGTGGCTCGTAAGGCCCTTTCTCTGTACCCGGCTATGAACCGTCATTTTGATTTTCAGACCTGGCTGATCTCCAGGATGTAACTATCTTTTTGATCTAATATATGATTACCTTTTGTCAAAAAAAAAAAAATCTTAAATTTGTGTCGGTTTATACCCAACACCAAAATAACTGTCACTAACCGGAAAAAAATAGTGTCGGTTATTAAACCGACACAAATCTAACATTTTGTGTCGGTTAAATGAACCAACACAACACAACTGGCACTAAACACCTTTTTTCTTGTAGTGATGGGGTATGGTACCCAAGACGAAATGAGCGGTTATCGAATTTGTGGAGGGGAGTTCTGCGAGTCCTACACTATATCCCTGAAGGGACCATGTGGAACATTAGGAGCGGCATGCAGACACTGTTTTGGACTGACCGGTGGTTACAAGATGGACCGCTACTTGCGGAGTTTGCCCCAAATCTTCCTGCTGCTGCCAGGAACTTGCGGGTTGCTGAAGTAGTCTTGAATGGGGAATGGAATATGGACTTTATCCGGGCTTACCTTCCAGAGGCACTCGCGTTACAAGTGCAGCTCCACCCGGTCCCGAAGGAAAATGAAGCTGACGTTCCCATGTGGAGATTCTCCGAGTCGGGGCGTTTTACCCTGCACACTGCGTACGAGCTCCTAAGGGAGGAGGAGTCTAGGGAGCAGCACCCTGTCTGGAAGACTGTTTGGAAGATCGAGAGCCCCCAACGCACTAAACCGTTCTTCTGGCTTGTCCCCCACAAGAAACTTTTGACGAATAGCGAACGATGTAGAAGGCATCTGGGGAGCTCGGATAGGTGTCAGGTGTGTGGGGGCGGACTAGAATCAGTTATTCATGTCCTTAGGGACTGCCCTTACGCTAGAAATGTGTGGTCATCACTGCTGGTCAGCGAACCGGATAAAGACTTTTTTGAAGCAGATGTTACAAGGTGGGTCCTTCACTATCTCTCGGGAAGGAGTAAGGCCATTGAACCTAGTCTTTTTGCCATTCTTTGTTGGCAATTGTGGAGGAATAGAAACCAGTGGGTTTTCGAAGAGAAGTTAGCAAGGGAGGAGCAGTTGGTTCGATTGGCTAAGCTAATGTGGCATCAGTCAGCAGAAGCATTGAGCAGAGGCCAGCTTGCAGTGGGAGGGGGTTCTGCGAAGACACACCAACTGATTAGCTGGTTCTGCCGAATGGCTGGCTGTGTGTGAACACGGATGGTTCTGTGAATCTAGCGGTGGGCAGTTCGACAGCAGGGGGTGTTCTCCGAGACGAATTTGGCCGCTTTATGGGAGCTTACGCGATTAATCTAGGAAGTGGCTCTATTACTCACGCGGAAGCGGCGGAACTGTCAGGTATAGCGGAAGGATTACGACTCGCATGGGAAAAGGGCGCCAGGAAGGTTGTGCTACAGACCGATTTAGTTGCAGCCCTCTCGTTAATTCGGTCGACGAATTCTTGCCATCCTCATTTCACAATGACTTCCACGATTCGCCGACTGCTTGTTCACGTTTTCAGGGAAGCAAACTTTGTGGCGGATTATTTGGCTTCAGTTGGTCACACCCTTCCTATCGGAGTGCATGTTTTCGATATCCCTAGCCGTATTTTGAGTTATTGGCTGTACCTTGACTCTATTGAAGTCCAAACCCTCGTTTTATTAATAGTTAAGGGATAGCGCCCCTCTGCGCTCTATTTTTTTTTTAAAAAAAAGATTAACTCAAACCGTTGGACGAGGTGAGCCAGCCAAGCCAACCAGCCTCAGGCCCTCAGCCTCAGCCAAGCCAAGCCAAGCCAAGCCAACCAGCCTCAGCCTCAGCCTCAGCCTCAGCCTCAGCCTCAATTGGTAGTTGGCGAATGGGACGTTTTTCTTTTGTTTTCTGTGGGAAGGCCGGTAGGAAAGTCCGTCTTTGTACATAGGCCATTAGGCCCTCAATAAATTCCCGTTTCAACTTCAATTTTCCAGAAACTTCCCCTTTAGAATTTCGATTCCGTCAATTCTCTTTAACCCTCAGCCCAAACTCTCAATATAAATTGGGAAGCAGAAAGAAATCTGATTCCCATACTCAATTTCATCTCCTAGTTCTCCGTTCCTCTCATCCAATCCTTCCCAGCCACTGAAGAAGCAGAAAGCTCGCTGCTTTGCTCCCGAGTTCCGATACACTGTCCTTCGCTTCAAGTTCTTGCGGGCTCTTCTGTAAGTATGTTCGAGAAATTCGTTGTGGGTTTGAGCTAATTTTGCTGTATTCGAGTTTCTAATCGAATTGGTGAATGAATTCGAGGGTTTCCGTTAGGTGGAATTTAGAATTGCTGGGATCTCAATGTTAAGGCTTTTTCATGAGGGTTTTGGAGATCGCCTTTCAATTTAAGCTCTTTTAGCGTTTCTGGTGGGTTTATGGTTTTTAGCGTTTCTGCTTTGATCTAGGGTTTGGAAGGAGGGGAGAGAGTAGGGAAATCTCGACCTATTCTGCGGCTGAAATTTCAGGCGATGCAGGTTGCTGAGGATTTCGAATGCAATATCTGCTTCGACTTAGCTCAGGATCCAATTGTTACCCTCTGTGGCCATCTCTACTGTTGGCCATGCCTCTACAGATGGCTTCACCACCACTCCAACTCCCACGAGTGCCCTGTTTGCAAGGCTCTAATTCAGGAAGAGAAGTTGGTACCTCTATACGGTAGAGGCAAAACACAGGTCGATGATCCTCGGTCCAAGTCGTATCCAGGCATCACTGACACCCCTCCAAGGCCTGCTGGGCAAAGGCCGGAGACCGCCCCACCTCCTGCACCAGACAACGGTTTCGGTAACTTTGGGTTTGGACCATTGGGAGGAGGGTTTGCTCCGGCGGCTAGTGGAAGGATCGGCAACTTCGCGTGGTCAGGTGGATTTGGTATTGGTTTGTTTTCTCTGTTCCCATCATTGCTCAATTTCCAGTTCCATGGATTCCATGATGCTGCTGCCTATGGAACTGCTCCTGGTTTCCAGCATGGGTTTCATAACTTCCATGGTGGCCATGCCAATTGGTTCCCACCACCAAGCAATCGACAGAACCAGAGTGATACTGCTTTGAAGAACCTGCTCTTGTTGGTTGGTTTCTTCGTACTCCTCACGCTTATGTTTGGGTAGATGCACTCTAAGCTACAGAGTCATTTTATCAGTTATTACGTGTTGGGAGGTTCATGTAAGTTTGTATAGATATTCAGCCAGTGCAGCTGTGATAAGCATGGCTGTTGATTTTTTTAGCTTATTGAGAATAATGCACTGAGTAGCAAGCTGCTAGTAGTACTACTTGTGGATTCTTAAGAGCAAGCAAGTTCTTGTGTGTGGTGACATTGGGTATAATGATGATAGCAACTTGTATCCAGTACTTGTTCCATTTTAATGGTTGCTGTCCTTTTGGTGCAATGTGTGTGAAGCTCTCAGCAGATTCAAACTATTGCCCTTTTTAGATTGAGCTGGCGCTTGCTGCTTAGTCCATCTGGGTTCTGGTATGTATGTCTATTCCCTGCTTTATGAAGCAAGTGGGACCAGGAGCAGGACTTTTGAGTGAGTAGTCCTTGTCCAAGTTGGACTTCTGCAGGGTCGCTGTTGATTGGTACGCTTCGCAGGAAGTGGGAATTCATGGGATAATTGGTCGAGTTATTCATGGGATACCTTGAGAAAATATGTTGTCGACACTAGGGATTTCGGCCTTCGATCCCTTTGACTTGCCGTCAATGTCTCTTCATCTTTTGCTCATTAGTGTATTTACAGATGATCAGATCAGCTGGCTACTGTAGCAGCTTGTGTATTCCTGGATATGATACGAACTACAAATTGCTTAAACTGAATGCGACTTCAACGACACTCTACCATACTCGTCAGACTCCGGATGCTTATAACCACATCCTTAAACAGACATAGGCAGCATTTTAGTGACATTGAATGCTTGATGGTTGAGAAGAAGGATCGGGCAACAAACAGCTAATGTTCTGCTCAAAGCCCTCTAGTGCTATGAGTAAGAAATTAGGAATGATCCCATTCCACCAAGGCTATAACTCCATTCCTTGACGACCAAGGATTGACCCTTAATTTGTAAGATTAAAATTTGCACCAGCCACTATCCTTAGACCTTAATTGAGCCATACCATGAATTCCCTTTTACCTTCCTCTTCAGCTCGAAGCATAGCGAATCACACATTGAGGGGTTGTTTGGAAGTTGCGAATGTTAAATCGTTGCATTGTAATGAATCACAACAAAATAAATACATGTATTTGTACAATGTATGCATTTTAATAATACATTGTTTGGTTGTTGAGATTCTACTTTATGTATTGACTTGCATAAAGTTACTTTATGGGGAAATGTCATATTTATCCTCAACTTTTAGTATAAACCAAAAACTAATAGGGGTATAAATGAAAAGAAAAATTGGACACAAATATAAAATCAACAATCACAACAATCTCAATTAAAAGTTGAAATTGTATAATGCATCATATTTTGTGATTGTTGGTAGGACTTACCTAAAACAATACATGCATTGTTTTACATTTTGACACTTCCAAACATTGTATTGTGCACAATACATGTATTCAATAAACACAACTCTAACAACCACAACTACCAAACGACCCCTGAGTTTTACAATGGTCTTAATGATAATAAAGCATCAATATGACTCAAGCAATGAGTGGGCCGAAAGCCCAGTCATAGAATACGATCCAACAAGGGGCCTAATGCGCTTAAAAACGAGTAACATTGAGTTATGTCTTCATCATCTTTCTTTCAATTTCGAAATTAATTGAAGGTAGTCCGATTCAACGACTACGGGAGCCATATAGGATGGTAATGGGCGGGTTTGAGGCAGATTTTTTTTAAACCATCTCTATCCCCACTTTCAAATATGCAAATTCATATTCGTCCCATATCCATGTGGGGAAAGATTTTGCAAACCCATCACCTATTCTTGCGTTTCGGATATCCATAGATAATACCCGCCTGTACATACAACCTTATAATACCTGCCCAATTAGCAACCTCCGGTCCTTTCAAAACTGCCTTAGCTTCAGCCTTAATAGCTGGCAGTTGCCACAACCATTAGAAGTCTTCGAGTCAATTTATCGTTCCTAATTGAATTGGTTATAATTTATATCAAAATAAATGGCTCACTTAATTACTTTGACACAATAGGAAAGAGCTGCATGCCTGGAGTCTCTTCGAGGTTGCATTTTGTCAAATGCTATGGCTGGTGGATGTCGTTTTTAGATGTTATATATATAGGTGGCTACTTCGTACACTCACTTTTTTTATTGCATTCAGTGTACCCAACTTTAAAACTGGTCATAGTACATCAAAATTTGAACTTTAATTGATAGAATTAGTGTAACACGATGATATAACTTAGAATCATAATTCATAACTAATCAATCCATTGCCCTAACATCTTGACCTTCAATTTTGAATCTCAACTTAAAACCCCAAATTGTAAACCTAATCCCTAATCCCTAAATCATTGAAATTAAAGTAAACCGTGAATGATTTTTGTACAAATTCATGTATTTTCTTGTCCATCATATACACACATGGTGTAGAGGTGGCGATTGATTGAGTTGTTGCTGGGCATTGACTCCTTATTAATTGCATTGCACCCTCTAACAAGCAACATGTAGAAGGCAGCTGCCAAAGTATCTTTGGGCTGAAGCGTGGCGGTGTTAGAGACACGGAGTCAGAGGCCGAGTCGGCCTGGGGCGGGGGGGGGGGGGGGGGTATTTGAGTCATTTGAGTATTGTTGGGGGAGAGAACTATTTAAGCTACAGTCTTTGTTAATTCGATTAAGCAAGAATAATATCAGGATTCCTAAACCCTAATTCCTCATCTCTTCTTCAATTCCCACCCCAATTCCCAATTCTCAACCCTAATTCTTCTATTCTCATCCCTAATTTCTACTCAATTATCCGTGTTTCTCACAATTGGTATCAGAGCCTGGCTCGACATGAGTTCATTAGGGCTCAATAAAGGGGACCAGGCAACGCAGACGGACAAACGGTTGCAGGAGGTGCTCGCGCGACCCGAGCTGGTGGCCGAGGAGATGCGGGCCGCAGTCGGCGCGACGCAAGCGATGGCGGAGGGACGCATCCCTCTGGTGATGACGACGAGCAGGCAAGAGGAGGAAGAGGCGAGCGGCGCGGGTCAGGAAGCCATTCCCGCCGTCGCAGCCACGGCGACATCCTGCATGCAGGAGAAGGCAGAGGCGGACGACGAAGAACGGGAAACCATCTCCGCCGTCGCAGCCGCGATGACAGCCAGGTCAGCAACCATGCACTTTCGGGCGCAGGTCGTGGAGGAGTGGGCGGTGGCTCTCGTGGACAATGCGACCTCTCTCAACTTCGTGGGCGACGAATTTGTGCGGCGGCTACACCTGTCCAAGTCGCCAATTGATTCTTTTGACGTGAAGGTCGCCAATGGTGCACCATTGAAGTGCGAATGGAAGCTGGAAGGGGTACCCGTGCGGATTAAAGGGCTACAGATTTTCCTTGATTTATATATGCTGCCACTGCAGGGGTTCGAAGTGATCTTAGGCATGCCATGGCTCAAGAGTTTGGGACCGGTGACTAGCGACTGAGTGAAGATGGTCATGTCGTTCAAGTGGAGGGACAAGGACTGAGAGTTGCAGGGAATGAACACGGCGAACGGGCCGATCGAGTGGGCCGATCTGCAGTTGGAGAGCGACGTGGAGCTCGCTGTGCTCTGTTGGCCACTGGGATCTAACGACCAGCAGCCACTAGCCCCGGAATTACAGGAATTGTTAGACCGATATGCTGAATTATTTGGAAACCCGAACCAGCTGCCCCTGAAGCGCCAGGTTGACCATCGGATTCGACTAAAGGAGGGCATGAACACGGTTAACGTCCGATCCTATAGGTATGCTCACAACCAGAAGGTCGAGCTCGAGAGACAAGTAGAGGAGATGATGACCGCATGATTAATTCAGGCAAGCTCCAGCCTGTTTTCCTCGCCAGTATTGTTGGTGAAAAAGAAGGATGGTACTTGGAGGTTCTGCACTAACTACCGAGCCCTGAACACCACTACTGTGCGTGATCGATTTATCATTCCACAGTGGATGACATGCTAGACGAGCTAAGGGGAGCCCAGTACTTCACCAAGCTCTTCTTGAGGGTCGGGTATCATCAGATACGCATGCATGATGAGGACGTTCCTAAGACATCCTTTCAGTCACATAGTGACCATTATGAGCACCTCGTGATGCCCTACGGACTTTGTAATGCGTCATCGACATTTCAGACTGCCATGAACGATATTTTTCACCCTCGACTTCGCAGGTCAATACTGGTGTTCTTTGATGATATTCTGGTTTTCAATAAATCGTGGAAAGAGCATATGCAACATTTGCAGGAGGTATGAGAGGACCCTGAGAAAGATCCACAGTGATGAAGGAATTCCACGATTCCCCCGTGGGTGGCCACTCCGGGTATGAGAGGACCCTGAGAAAGATCCACAGTCAGTTCTATTGGCCACAGATGACCCGCGAGGTCAAGGACTACATGGCATCCTGTGACATGTGCCAGCGGTTCAAGGCATCCCAGTTACGACCATGCCTGCTGCAGCCCCTGCCCGTGCCAGAGAGGGTCTAGGAGGATATTAGCATCGATTTCATAGTGTGGTTACCACCATCCGGTGGAAAGACAGTATTGCTGGTAGTAGTGGATCAAATCGCTAATATGCCCATTTCCTGGCTCTGTCCCATCCTTACACTGCCAGAAGCATTGCAGAGCAGTTCGTCTGGGGGGTCATTCGACACCACGGGTTCCCTCGGTCGATCGTGAGCGATCAGGATGCGCTATTCCTGGGGAGATTCTGGAAGGAAGTGTTCGTCATGGTGAACAAGATATGGGAGCAGTGCCTGAGATGTTTCGCACATCAGCAGCAACGACGATAGCTAGCTCTGCTACCCTGGGCGGAGTAGTGGAATAATACCACCAATGCTATTCAGATGTCTCCGTTCGAGGCTTTATACGGGAGGACACCACCTACGCTAGTCCGATACCATTCCGGAGCGAGTGCAGTGGACGTGGTCGACAGGTGGCTAGCCCATCGGGACGAGGCGTTGCAACAATTGAAGGCA